CTTTTTTCTTTCACTGAGGCCTTTCTTTAAGGCCGGTTTTTGTAGCGAGCTAGGTACAGTGATTGCCTCGGGAAAATATTGTAATCTCTTTGATTTACTTTTTTATCTTCTAAAAATAAGTTACACCTGGCGAATTTAAGGGTATAAATTTAAGCGTGTTCTTGGAAATAATTATCGAAATTATTCGTGTTGCTCACTACTGCTAGCGGTAGTGGGCAACACTCTTGGTTAGATCGTTGAAATATAGCTGTGGCATCGCATTCTTTAAATGTTTTCGTCTTGTTGTTCTGCTCCACTGGCTAAGACTGTTTCCTTATAATTCAACAAAATGAAACCGCTAGGCATATTCCCTTTGCACTGCCTTTTTAGCTGGTAGTGTATTCTGATCGTCAGGGTGGGCGAGGAACTGAACAGAACTGTTAAAGGTGGCGGCAGCTTTAGGCGTTGAGAAGAAACGAACGCCAATGTTTATAGAACTCGACAAGAACAAAAGGAGTCATTTATGGCTCACATACACACTCGTGTTACAATTGGGGGGCAATGGAGAAATCCACCCTCTTAGAGCGTGGTGTCACCAAGAAAAAGAGGGTGTTGGTTAGTATAGATCAATTTCACTTTCATTATTTTTAGAGTTATCCCTTTCCTTCTTTTTTTTTACAAAATTGTGTTCATCACAAAAGCTATCTCTATTCCCTTTGCCATTTGACTGGTTATTGATATGTGAACATTAGATCAAGGTTAGCCGATTGAGGAAAACTTACTTCCATTTTGAGAGAATGTCCATAAAATAACTTAGATGAAATTGACCAATCTCAAGGACTGAAACAGCAGCCTTCCTCCCTTTCTCCCTTTAATTTTCTTACGATGTCACGTGAAAATTCGAGATCGAGAACGTTATTATCACACAAGAATGTTCGGGGTGCCACGAGATGATTTTTTCAAAACCTGAACACCGATCATCATCGACTGACTCTGATAATGACCTCCGCTCAGGTTTTCCAATAGTTAGTTACTGCTACGAGAAATGACTTTCTCAAGTGCCCCATCCTAGAGACGATCACACTTCATGGTCGACTTTTTCATTCAGGGCTCAAATCATTGACTGTTGACTGAATAAGCTTGTTTCAAAAAGGATCTTGCTGGAAAGGAACAGATGTAGCTGCACTTTTCTATTTGTCAAACCAAGTAAGGATAACTAAGGGATCACGGGGCACCAGGTGATGGAAAACATATGTCAAGATCAAGGCTTGAGGTGAGATGAGGGAAAGCCTTCATACTTTAGTTATCGTACAAGGAGGAGGACGCCCCCGCCACAGAGGTACTGTCACACGTTAACCCATATCATTGATATGGCAAAGTGGTCCTCAGTGT